AGTGCTTCATTTTCGTTAGTCCTTCAGTAGAGCGAAAGTTGGTAGAGACGAAAATGGCCACGCGTGCAACTGGGGAGCGAGACGGGAGAGGCAGACGCCCTCGCTTCTCGAGTCTCGCTCGCTTCTCGCATGTTACGAGTACCACTATACCACTTGAAGAAAAATGAGAAAAAGCTGGCAGTCTATTGAAAATGCGAAGAACGCAGTAACACACTCCATGCATGGGCATTTATCGACACGCGTGGATTATTTTCTTATTTTCTTTACTTTCAACCACGTTCTCGTTTTGTTCTAAAAGATGTCGGCTTACAGATATCTGGAGCATCAAGGTATCTTGAGGCAGGAAATATTAAAACCGTCTCCTCGATGTTTCGACACAAACTCTAAGAGTTTTTGCTTTTTCTGAAGGCTGTAGGAGGATTCCAGTTCGTAAATGGTGCATAGATTGAAGAGCAGTCCTTCTTGTAGATTCGTTGTAGGATCCGCCCAAATTATTCTCTCCAGCAACGCAAGCGCCTGAAGGATAGTACAATACAACGTCAAGTTAAAAACTAGCAAAGTGTAATAGTGTATGCAAGAGTAGATTGCAGAACACAAAACAGACGAGCAACAGACGTTTGCTCCCAGCGTGAGGCGCGGGAAAATCATCGCACACGTGACGACTGACTACACGTCTGATTGGTTAGTGGGGTGTTTCCAAACTAAATCATCACGTTTTGGGCAAACGGCAAGCGTCAGTTTGTACCACATGACCAGGTTTTTCCGCAACTTATCGTTTACTGTATTACATCTACAGAAAGATGGTAGTTTCATGTAAGGTTCATCCGTAAGAATAATTTGGGATAGTTTTTACCTGCATACTGCCTAATTGGAAAGAGTGCCAACTAAAATCTGACCGTCCGTTTACCGTTTCGTGTAGACGTGATTCCGAGGCTATGTCTATATTATTCCGGATAGTTTCTCGTGTCGACACGAAAAGCTATCCGGAATATTATGAACAGCAACGGCCCGAAACAGAAACAAGTCGTTCACACACATCGAAAATCGATCAACATCGTGCAGGAGCGGTTGACCGAGAGGGTTTGGTGCACTTAATCCCAGCCCTCACTCCTGAATATTTACTTCCCTCTCAGTGGGTTCTTCCGCTGCGGTACCTGTTAACACTCCACCGAAATGTGGCGCAACTTCGCCCTGTTACAGAAATCGCGCCGAAACAACCGTTCTTGTGTGAACAGAGGCCCTATCCGGTATTGCTTTCGTGCCGGCGCTGAAGCTATCCGGATATAGTGCGAATTATTGCCGGCGTTGATAACCAGTCTCCTCTGCTTACTATGTGCGAACATAGCCTTAATCTCTAATATTTAGGGGCGCTTTCCATTCAACAAAAATTCCGGTTTAAAATTTCGGAAATGTCACGTGCTCAGTGGAACGGTACATTCCGGTTGCACAGACCCGACCCAAGCCACCGCGCGTTTGGTTATTGCTCTTGTAAGCAGGATACAATAGACTACGAGTAGTCCCCCAATTTTTTCAGGGATAGGAGAGCGAGCGAAACGCGAGCGCGCTTGAAAAATCACCCCAGGCGAGAAAAGGCGACACGCGGCGGGTCGCCTTTTCTCGCGTGGGGTGATTTTCACGCGTGCTCGCGTTTCGCACGCTCTCCTATCCCTGAAAAAAATGGGGGACTACTCGTAGTCTAGGATACAAAAGAGCGGAACAATTTGGTCAAATGGAAAGGGACATTTCAGTCCGACCGACCGAAATGACCAGACCGGTCAAAGAGGACCACCTTCAAAGCTGGTCCCGAATATTCCGGTCGGACCAAACCGAAATGGTCCGTTTCATTCGACGTACCAACTAAAACTTCGGGAATTTTGGGTTGAATGAAAAGCGCCCTAGTATTATTGACACAAGCTTGCAAATAACTACTGTAATACTCAACTTACTGATACCTTTAAAGCTATCTACTTACCTCCTTTAGTTTTCCGAGAAAAAGTAGACAAACAGCTACATTATTGACAGCCTNACAGACCCGACCCAAGCCACCGCGCGTTTGGTTATTGCTCTTGTAAGCAGGATACAATAGACTACGAGTAGTCCCCCAATTTTTTCAGGGATAGGAGAGCGAGCGAAACGCGAGCGCGCTTGAAAAATCACCCCAGGCGAGAAAAGGCGACACGCGGCGGGTCGCCTTTTCTCGCGTGGGGTGATTTTCACGCGTGCTCGCGTTTCGCACGCTCTCCTATCCCTGAAAAAAATGGGGGACTACTCGTAGTCTAGGATACAAAAGAGCGGAACAATTTGGTCAAATGGAAAGGGACATTTCAGTCCGACCGACCGAAATGACCAGACCGGTCAAAGAGGACCACCTTCAAAGCTGGTCCCGAATATTCCGGTCGGACCAAACCGAAATGGTCCGTTTCATTCGACGTACCAACTAAAACTTCGGGAATTTTGGGTTGAATGAAAAGCGCCCTAGTATTATTGACACAAGCTTGCAAATAACTACTGTAATACTCAACTTACTGATACCTTTAAAGCTATCTACTTACCTCCTTTAGTTTTCCGAGAAAAAGTAGACAAACAGCTACATTATTGACAGCCTAAGTGCAAAAACAAAGACGCAAACAAACAAAATTAAGGAAATTTTTCTTCAGACCAACTCTAGACGGCAGATAGTCTTAAAGAGCAGGCAAAGTGCTTACCACGGAATTATGGGGATCTAACTTGGTAGAGGCTATAAAATGTCTATGAGCTTCGTCAAATAATCCAGCAGACAGAGCCAACAAACCCCTGGAATGCAAGACAGTATGAAAAAAATAATAAGGAAAAAATATATTTGCGGCGATACATAAAATATAAACATTTTATAAGAATTTGTCATTTGTTGGGTATGTCTTGTTGCGCTTTGAGGGGTGGGATGGGGGGTTCATTAAATATTGATTTTATTTTGCATTGCTATGGAATCATGTATTGGCGAAACTAAGGCCCTGTTTACACTAATGCGTTTTCGTTATCATCGAAAACATCGACCGATTAGCTTCCCCACTACCATTTTGATACGTTTTCAGCTGTCCACACTAAAACGTTCGAAAACGATAGAATTGCACGTTGTGACGTAAGTTGAACTCTACGCGCGCGCACCTGTGATATTTTCGGTCATCGTTTTCATTTTGATACGTTTTTTACCGTTTTCGACCGTCCAAACTAATACGATATGTATGCGATTTCATTTTGATCCACTTTCAAAAAACTCTCAGCGTATTAGTGTGGAGGAAGGCCTGAACGCATCGAAATGTATGCGTTTTCACTGAGGAACGAAAACGCATTAGTGTGGACGAGGCATTTTCTCAACCAATCAGGGGTTAATTTAAAAAACCTTTTACAAATGTAATTTGCTAGTGTAGCTATTGTTTTAAAGTCTGAATTCAACAGCCACACGTGTAAAATTTTTTATCAAATTGGCCACAGCGGAAAATACCATAATATTCTTTAAATTCCCGTTTGGGTGGTACTTCATGTAAACCCCGACTTTTTCAATATCTTTTATTCTCTGCACGATTTGCAAGTGCAATGCATAAGCGTCTCGTAAACTTGCATACACTGCACGAACAGTTCGTGCAAACAACAAAAAATACTGCAAAAATAAGGTTTACATGAAGCACCAGTTAAAGGGCAGGTTAAAGAATATTATGGTATTTTCCGCTGGTGCTGGAAAACGCCGTTTACTAGTGGACGGAAGGCTAAAACGGAGAGAAAAATCTCTGTTTTCAAAAATATCTGGAGACGCGCACGTGTGAACGGGGACTACGCTTTACTGGACAAATTCAAACAAATAACTGTATTTGCCAATCCAAGCACTGAGTTGGTTCCTTTGTATGGGAGGTCTATACGCATCAGAGATAAACTTTTCTTAGCATACTCTTACTTATTCATAACCACGCTGCTGAGAGACTTTGGATCTCCTGTGGCCTTTGATTCCACTTGCTTAAAGTAGCTTTGTGCGGCGTCCAAGTCTCCAAGCTAAAAGAGAAATGGGGTTTCTATAAATTAGGCGACAGGAAATCCTCCAAAACTGTTGAGGGTATTGATCGGTGTATGTTACCACAAAATTTTAAAACTCGTAGTGGAAAAAGCATCTTTCGTTTACATAAAAAAAGCGAACGATCTTCATGTTGGCATAAACTTAACGAAAGCAAAATGGAAAGTTTTGCATTTCGTTTCAGTTGAGATGAGCGGTTTTCAACCTCTGAATCTCATTCGAATAAAAACGCCAAACTCTTATATTATATGTTAGACTATTTCATTTCATTCGACTCTGTACTTCACTTTATACTGTAGTTTCTAGGAGACTCTTTTCGCTAGTCAGAGGAAGATTAAGCGGCAACGACGACGGCGAACGGCAACGACAACGGCAAAAAAGGCCAGAGTCCCATATAAGGTTTAGTTTAGCAAAACAAAAACTATGCACGTGCATCACAGGGCGCTTTTTTTGGTACATTTCTTTGCCGTCGTTGCACTCCCGCCTAAATTCACGTGTTTTTTTTTGAGGACGTGATCACAAAACAACAATTTTCTTTTTCTCTTTGTGAACTTAGATACAGTCCAGTCCTTTAGAATTTAATTCCAGAAAAGAATCACCAACATTTGACAAATTAAAAGAGTTGGAATAAAGGCGATGAAGTTTTTAACAGCGCGAAAAACGTAGTTTTCGCTGCCGTTGCCGTTGCCGTTGCCGTTGCCGTGGTGGTTGCTTGATCTCCATTTTAACTATCTAAGAGTGGCTCACTTGTAGGTAAATTCTTCCTATTCCTGATAACATGCTGAAAGTGGAGGAAGGATCCCTAGCCATGATAGACTCAAACACAGCAACCGCCAGGCTGTAATCCTAGAAGGAAAAAAACATAGGCAGATGAAACCGTGCATCAAATCAATTTGGGGACCAACCTAGTATTATTGACACAAGCTTGCAAATAACTACTGTAATACTCAACTTACTGATACCTTTAAAGCTATCTACTTACCTCCTTTAGTTTTCCGAGAAAAAGTAGACAAACAGCTACATTATTGACAGCCTGTGTGCAAAAACAAAGACGCAAAAAAACAAAATTAAGGCAACTTTTCTTCAGACCAACTCTAGACGGCAGATAGTCTTAAAGAGCAGGCCAAGCACTTACCACGGAATTATTGGGATCTAACTTCGTAGAGGCTATAAAATGTCTATGAGCTTCGTCAAATAATCCAGCAGACAGAGCCAACAAACCTCTGGAAAGCAAGACAGGATGAAAAAGATAATAATGAATAAATATATTTGCGGCGATCGATACATAAAATATAAACATTTTATAAGAATTTGTCATTTGTTGGTTATGTACTGTTGCGCTTTGAGGGGTGGGATGGGGGGTTCATTAAATATTGATTTTATTTTGCATTGCTGTGGAATCATGTATTGGCGAAACTAAGGCCCTGTTTACACTAATGCGTTTTCGTTATCATCGAAAACACATCGACCGATTAGCTTCCCCACTACAATTTTTATACGTTTCCAGCTGTCCACACTAAAACGTTCGAGAATGATAGAATTGCACGTTGTGACGTAAGTTGAACACTATGCGCATGCTCATCATTTTCATTTTGATGCGTTTTTTACCGTTTTCGACCGTCCAAACTAATACGATATGTATGCGATTTCATTTTGATCCACTTTCAGAAAACTCTCAGCGTATTAGTGTGGATGGAAGACCTGAACGCATCGAGATGTATGCGTTTTCAAACGAAAACGCATTAGAGTGGACGAGGCATTTTCTCAACCAATCAGGGGTTAATTTAATAAACCTTTTACAAATGTAATTTGCTAGTGTAGCTTTTGTTTTAGAGTCTGAATTCAACAGCCACCCTTGTAAAATTTTTTATCAAATTGGCCACAGCGGAAAATACCATAATATTCTTTAAATTCCTGTTTGGGTGGTACTTCATGTAAACCCCGACTTTTTCAATATCTTTTATTCTCTGCACGATTTGCACGTGCAATGCATCAGCGTCTCGTAAATTTGCATACACTGCACGAACAGTTCGTGCAAACAACAAAAAATACTGCACAAGAAAGGTTTACATGAAGCACTAGTTAAATGGCAGGTTAAAGAATATTATGGTATTTTCCGCTGGTGCTGGAAAACGCCGTTTACGAGTGGACGAAAGGCTAAAACGGAGAAAAAAAAAAATCTCCGTTTTCAAAAATATCTGGAGACGCGCACGTGTGAACGGGGACTACGCTTTGCTGGACAAATTCAAACAAATAACTGTATTTGCCAATCCAAGCACTGAGTTGGTTCCTTTGTATGGGAGGACGATACGCATCAGAGATAAACTTTTCTTAGCATACTCTTACTTATTCATGACCACGCTGCTGAGAGACTTTGGATCTCCTGTGGCCTTTGATTCCACTTGCTTAAAGTAGCTTTGTGCGGCGTCCAAGTCTCCAAGCTAAAAGAGAAACGGGGTTTCTATAAATTAGGCGACTGGAAATCCTCCAAAACTGTTGAGGGTATTGATCGGTGTATGTTACCACAAAATTTTAAAACTCGTAGTGGAAAAAGCATCTTTCGTTTACATAAAAAAAGCGAACGATCTTCATGTTGGCATAAACTTAACGAAAGCAAAATGGAAAGTTTTGCATTTCGTTTCAGTTGAGATGAGCGGTTTTCAACCTCTGAATCTCATTCGAATAAAAACGCCAAACTCTTATATTATATGTTAGACTATTTCATTTCATTCGACTCTGTACTTCACTTTATACTGTAGTTTCTAGGAGACTCTTTTCGCTAGTCAGAGGAAGATTAAGCGGCAACGACGACGGCGAACGGCAACGGCAAAGATAACGGCAAAAAAGGCCAGAGTCCCATATTAGGTTTAATTTAGCAAAACAAAAACTTTGCACGTGCATCACAGGGCGCTTTTTTTGGTACATTTCTTTGCCGTCGTTGCACTCCCGCCTAAATTCACGGTTTTTTTTTTTTGAGGACGTGATCACAAGACAACAATTTTCTTTTTCTCTTTGTGAACTTAGATACAGTCCAGTCCTTTAGAATTTAATTCCAGAAAAGAATCACCAACATTTGACAAATTAAAAGAGTTGGAATAAAGGCGATGAAGTTTTAAACAGCGCGAAAAGCGTAGTTTTCGCTGCCGTTGCCGTTGCCGTTGCCGTTGCCGTTGCCGTTGCCGTGGTGGTTGCTTGATCTCCATTTTAACTATCTAAGAGTGGCTCACTTGTAGGTAAATTCTTCCTATTCCAGATAACATGCTGAAAGTGGAGGAAGGATCCCTAGCCATGATAGACTCAAACACAGCAACCGCCAGGCTGTAATCCTAGAAGGAAAAAAACATAGGCAGATGAAACCGTGCATCAAATCAATTTGGGGACCAGTTTCTCGAAAGTCCAGGTAACTTTTCGGGTCCGAAAAGCTGATTTATGTTTGCCGCGTTTACGTTGAAGATCAAAGTTTCAATAATTTTCAAACTATCAGTTAACGAAACAAAATTGACGGGTTTGTGAGCTAGGAACTGTGCTACTGAACAAGTTTAAATTTTAAAATTTGCCTTCGGGCCTGAAAAGTTCCCGGGCCTTTCGAGAAACGGGGTCCAGATCAGATCCAGGAAAGAGGTTTCTAGTTTCCAGGTTTCCAGTGAAATTGATTCAATTGTAACATAGAGTCAATGCCCATCAAGGTGTCAAAATTACCCAACAACCCCCCTTTCGCTCCCACCACCACCCCCACAAAAAACTGACAATGTATATGGTATGTGATGTAGAAGACCTGTGATGTATAAATGAGGAGAAAGATTGTTTCATCTAAACTCCAGACACCAAGAAAAAAAGTTGAAAAGAAGTCACGAGTATCTGATTTCTAAAAACTCCTTAGCGAGAGTGATTTTCTTTGTTTTCCTCAATCACTGCGGGAACGCTATTCTAGAATTGGCTTCTTTACGCGGTAGTTAGACTTCCTCGCTTCTCGTTTTCGGTTTTCGGGCTTTGCGCTCGAGAAAAATATTAAGCTCGACTTGTGGGAGAGTCTACGCGGTAGTCTCCTTAGCGGCCGATCTGACCGAAGTCATGAAACGCCCCAGTCCATGTCCCACCGGGGTTGTTCAAATTTTCGTGATTACGACAATAATTCTCAAATTGGCTTGAACGTGGCGTAACAGTTGCTTCAGATGACCTCAGCTTTGAAGAACCAGTGGCAGATAGTGGGGCAAAAACACGCGCGACAGAAGGGAAGCAAAGCGATTTTTTCTCAAAATTTGCAGAAAAGGCAGTTGACTTTTCTCATGGAATTTCGGTTTCTTAAAACAACATGACCGAATCTCGTTTAACTAAAAAATCCCGAATCCCGGCCTTCAAGTAACTTTAAGTCCCAGATTCCGAAAATTAAACTGGTTGGGACTCTTCTATACTTCATTCTAGGCTGAACAGCAGCAACCCCTCATCGTAGCACCAGTGGTATTTCACCTCACCTTCATTCCAAGGAAACAGTTTCCTATTGAATAAAGAACTCGCACTTCTCTGGCGACCCACAGCTCAATAGCAGCTGAAAATTAATTGCCATTTGAATTATTAGTAACATTAATCTTCGTTCAAAATATTTCGCCGTTTCTGATTGACTGTAATCCCCCAGCTAATCCTTCATAACCAATTGGCGCTTACCATATTTGGAAGATGGGGGCAACATACCATCGATTCGGTGGACTGGAAACAAGGCTGATCGACGGTATATTTGATTGGAAACGAGGCTTCTTGGGCAATAGTGAACTACAAAAAGTGGCATTCAGGGCTATTCCAAGACGAAATAGCTGAATTTTTTACTAAACTGAATGGAAAAACTGCAAGAATTATTCGATGGATGTTGTCTACTTAACTGCAGCAGGATTAGCTCAGTCGGTAGAGCCGCGCTTGACTGCAGAGCGGGAGGTCGCCGCTTCGATTAACAGGGCCGGAGCATTTTAAAATAACTGGGAAATTAAGGAACTCCCTTTTTTTTTTCTTGCTCTGCTAGCGGATCTAGGGTGGGGACGAAAAAAGAGGGCAAATACCCCGTCCTCCGTCAACACCGCAACATTTTTCATTGATCGCACAGTCGAATAGTGCCGTTTTAAACATTTTCATATGCGATTTTTTGTTTCAATTAACGTCTTCCTTTGTAATAGCGCTAGGATTCTACTTAAGACTTCACGCCGCGACGACATGCACCAGTTTATGGTTTTAGTATTGCTATAAAATTATTGAGATTAAAATTAATAGAGCGCTGTAAAGTTATATGTTATAAATAGTTTTATAAATAGTTTTATAAATATGAAAAAATGTTCTTCAAATATTATCAACAGAAATTTGATTCAATAACCAAAAAACGTTGATTCACATCGATAGCTCCGGATTTGGCTTTGTAATCCTGGCTTGATAAGCAATGAAGAAATGCGTGCATAAAATCGCGAACATGCCTTTACAACCCTCTTCCTTTTTTTTTTCTAGGGCTAGGAGACATTGGAAATTGAGAATCAACCTAGGCTAAATCAAAATTATTTTGAAATCAAATTTGACCTGTAACATATATATTTGATAGTAAATCAAGACGATACATTTAATCCGAACAAAAAACATTAAGCATCGGCTTACCCATCTTATATTCAGGTGTCATCTCCCCCTGGCTTCCATCCTCAGTTAAATTCTGCAGCAAGTTTTCTTGCACCTGAGAGCATGTCCTTTGCAGCACATACAGATTATCCAAAGCATCCCTTGGTCTACCCATGTACTGTGGAAGCTCAGCCTGCAAGATCCGCATTGAAAATGGCACCATGGATCCTAAAAAGGAAAGAGTCAAATTTAAAGGAACTGTTTCACTGTCACATCTTACTGTTCATGCATACATGTACTCTTACAACAACAACAAAAAAATTCACTTAGATTGGTATTAGCTTTTGGCTAACAGTCTCAAGCCTATAAAAATAAAAAATGTAAAAGAACGGAACAACTACAGTAAAAAAATGAGTCAGAAAAAAGGAGGATGGATAAAATAAGATCAAAAATTCAGTAGAAAACAGGATCTTTAGGCAGTGGCTTGGGGTTTAGTCTTTTACCTCATGTAGTTTCCTAAATGTCACTTACAATGGCATAGATGTTTTTTTATAGATACCAGCAGTACATGGTATAAAATATTAGATACAGTGCTTGGACATATTTGGCATTTCATTATTGGATTTTCCTTTTATTGATTGGAAAGTATCTGCCTGTTTCACCTTTAAAATCAATGGTTAACTCTTTAAAAGCAGTGCTTAATATTTTGACGCTAATGACACTCATTACACTCTTTTTTCTCCTATAAGATTTTTTTTTTCACCCCAGGCTGAATATTCTTATTTTCTGCCGATTTTAGGCTGAAAATATTCTTGTAGTATTCTTAAATTATAGCTTATAACATTTCCTTTTTAGAATCGATATCAACATCAATATCAATTACAGTAAGTGCAGACTTTTCGTTTTGTAAGCTAGTTTTGCTGTTTAGAGAAAGGAATAAGTTAAAAACGTATAACTGTATTGTATTCACTGATTTTCAACATGCAAAATTATATCCTTTTCAAAATCTCAGTCTGGGGTTTATTCTTTAAATATTCTTAGAATGTCGCAAATTGCAGCCTCAACATTCCAAATTAATACATTCTTATAAAAAAGAGCGTACCAGAGTGTTGTACCGAATTATGGATGCTACATGGAGGGAGATCCAATGGCCTTGCATCTAGGGATGCACCAACATCCAGCATATGACTTTCAAATGCCACTCTTCTCAAAAAACATTCATTTATTTTATCCTTTACATTAATTTTCAAAACTCACCTTTCCTGCCAGGGTATGTGTCGGGATAAAACTCATAATACAGATCAGGTTGGTTAAAGCTGCCAAATGCCTCTAACTCAACCTCAGCTGTGCTGAACATCTGAAGTTTGAACAGCAAAGCTATTCTGCAGAACCAAACCTGCCATACAAGGAATGAGCCAAGTCAGTTTAAGTCGGTTAGTTTTGGTCACATTCTAACAGTTATGCAATCCTTGTGTGTTATTGACGGCTGGAGTTTAAAGATCCCTTGCATAATTATTTTCCCTTCAAAAGTGTTCTCATATTGTGATGCCACATAGAACACTTTGATTCTATTACCACATCAATACTCAAAGTTTAAAAACAAAGATTTTATATAGAAGAGCACCGAGAATGTTGCTGCAGCACCCATACATGTAGTCAGAGATATATTTTTTAAAAAATTAACCCTTTAGGTCCCAAGAGTGTCCAACATCAATTTTCTCCTAACAACATCAGCAGATCAACAAGAGTAAAGGTTATGAGAATTACTAAATTGATGACCAAAGGGAGAATACTTTGANTGTGAGTGAAGATGCAATACCTGGGGAGATTCAATAACCAGCCCTGGGGAGGTTAAGAACTGCTGACCCACATCTGCTGGATTCAACATTCCTGAGCCAATGGTAACAAGAAACTGCTTGGTTTGTGGATTGCAAATCCATGCTGAGTGCCGTCTTTCAGCTTCAGTTTGTTTTCTCTTCACACACTCCCCTTCAGGAGTTGGTGGTGCAGATGGAGGCTTTGTGGTCTGGGAAATATTTACATCCAGCAAATTAGGTCTGGGAGTTGAATGGTCAGTGTTTGACACTACATTTGCTGGATGTGCAAAGCCTTGGTTGATTTGGCTTGGAAATGGTGCAAGTGGAGAAACATGCCCTTCAGACTGCAAAAACTGTGATTCTGTGTCAGAAACTTCCTGGGTATTCAGCTCCAAAGGCTCCAGAGGAGGAGGGGCAGGTTCCTGTGTTGGCTGGCCTTCTGATGGTGGTTCTTCTGTGGTCATTGCTGGCACTTCTGTCATCGACTGCAAACTTTGTTGTGCTACTTCAGCAAAAGGGTCAGTTGCACTTGGTGCAAAAATGGAATCAAAGAAATTATGTCCTTCCACATCCCCACTTGCAGTTGTGTTTGTAGAAAACAAGTCACTAAGGGTACGATTTGGATTGTCAGTAGGAACTCCTTGAATTTCTACACTCTGAACAGAGTCATCTGGTTCTTTATTACTTGGCGCCATTGTGGGACTTGGCTCTGGAGAGCTCTCATTCATCCATTGACCCTCTTAGTTTAAAGAATGGATGATTAGTTAAAATGGCAAGTGATTCGTTGTACTATGTTGAGCATCTGAAGCCAGCTTATCTGCTTCAAACATCTATGGCAATCAATGGTTGGCATGCAATCAATCATTCAACATGCCTATTGACAGCTATGATAATAGCTATTAGTACTGATGATTATTTGAAGGAAGATCATCGCAGTTACATACGCAACTGCAAAAGTTGCTTATATATTTAATTGCAATGATCTTACTTCAAATAATTCTTCACTCCGCAGTTCACAGATATGATTTTCATATATTCATAATTTCAGTACTGATGATGCTAATGATTTTAAGTTTTTGCCATCTACATGGCAAAACGTTCACCCTACTTGTTGGTTTACCCTCGCAAGCAAATCTGGACTAGCTCTTCCCTTGGAATAACCTTTCCTCTCATGTAAACAAAACTGGGAACTCCTTCACTGTAAATAGTGCCTTTTATAAAAGTCATGTAATAAACCAAGCTACAGTCTAAGTCAAAATTGTTGGGACACTTTGCTGTCTTCCTACCCTTCAAAGCTGTGATAAAAAACATTGGGAAGAAGAGGAGACGGACCATAAGAAAAAAAAAACAGCGTTTGGTCAAAGGGTTCCAACTATTTTTGTCTGAGACTGTAGCAACAGAAGGGTAGTTAAAACCTTTGAATTTTGGAGTAGCAAAACATCTAATCATCAAGTGACATTTACACACACTTTTGACCAACCCAGGGTAAGATCTTAAGACTGGAGATCGATGACTGGAGATTGGCCCATCTCTTTTTTCACTTCGAAGGATTCAGGAATCTGATTATTTTATACAATCTAACCTTCAGGACTGGGACACTGCCATCCAAAGACATTAAGGTACTAGAATCCCAAAGCTATGAGCCAGTTCTCAAACTCCTACAAACAAAAAGAAACTTTGTCTGAGTTAAACTGCAGTGTCATGTTTCGAACATGTTGTCAATGTACAAGTTGATGACATGATCAGTTAGCGGTTGCCACATTTACAATAGAGAGGAGAAGTGTGATGTAACATAATTTCTGGATAATAACAACAGGGAGCTTAAGCAATGATGACGGCAACGGCAAAGAGAGAGGCACAAAAGCAATAGGTTTATATGAGCAAAACAACAATTTTGCACATGCATCACGCTCTTTTGTACATTGCTTAGCCCTCATTGCACTACTGTGACATGAAAGTTCCTAATTTAACGTGCCCACTCAGCGTGCAAAGAAAGTACTGTCCGATAGCCCGGGGCTAGTGGATTTTGCTATCAGGCTGGTGAATTCTGTTTTTAACTGGCCCGACGGGCAAGTGATGTTTTATGAGGAATTTGAATAACAGAAGAACAAAAAGTTTTTGGGGCTAGTTGAAATGACGTCTGGGATAGTAAATGCTAGCTTCAGCTTGCCTGAATGGCAAGCTGTAAAAATGATTTTCTTTGCACCCTACCACTATAAGAAGTAAGAGAGCACAACACAAAAATTTCCTTTTTCTTTTTCTTATCTTAGATATGGTCCTTTTGGATTCAAACCAGAAAATTTCGCCAACAATTGACAAGATCGAGGAAGTTTGAAACAGTGCAAATTCACTTTTTAAGTGATGGTTTTGGTTTGTTTTCATCCAGAAATTCTGCTACCATGGCAACATGACGTAATGACTTCTCCTCTATTAAGACTAATATCACAATACTTTCTCCACAGATATCATTTCATTTATTATTATCATTCTATTTATTATTATTTTTTTGCTCAGAGAGTATGTTTGATGAAGTTTATTCTTGTGTTCATTTGACATAATGTGACTGTGGAATGAGGTTGTCGTGTCACCACACAAATGACCTGTTCATCACTGGAGTTCTTAGTAGTTCAGTGGTTAGAGCATCCAACTAGTGTATGGATGGTCAAGGGTTCAATTCCCATCTGAAACTCAGAATTTTTTCTCTCAACATGTATCATTCTATTTATTATTGCAATATTCATCTTCAAAATTCTACAGACTGATTGTAAAAAATGGGGAAATTTGCTGAATAAAGGAGCATTACCTTACAAGTCAGAAAAAATTAGACACATTAACCCACTTGCTCCAGGACCACTCATAACTAAGTCCCTTTGACCGCTTATGACATCATCAGTTTTAACAGTCAAGGACAATGAATCAGAGTCTTTTCAAGTGAAAGGACAAATTCTGCACACTACAAAATCAATTTGAACCATATACCTGCACAAAGATTATGGCAAAAAAATGGGACAATGTGATGTACTGGAACTATTTTTGCTGAGCCAGCAGGCAATAAAAGTACACAAATAACACACAAACACACCCTAGAAATAAGAATGAACACTGATAATTTATTAGAATAATTTTCTTTAATGAAAGCAGAAAATATTAGTCTTAGAAATTTGATTGGTAGTGATACACCTTTTTTGATACCGGTATTTTTAATTGAGGAACCATTTCTGCAAAGAAAATACAATATGTAGCCAAGTAAATGTACTAACTTACAACTTCCACCTTAAAATATGCAAATTCAAGGCATTTATTATTAAACACAAACCTTGGCAGAAAGCTTCCCAGTTTTAGAAACATTGCAGGTTTCAAATGCATCGCTCACAATCCTAGAATCAATAAAAAATTAAAATTCCAACAAAATCAGAATGATCATAAGTTCTTGGCACATGGATAAAGTCAACTACCGTGAACAGCCTTGTGGACAACTTGCCATACCGGAGACCCCAATGCAAAATCAGCAGCAAAAATCATAGAAGTTTGACTGAAATAAACTCCCACTAGAGTACAGAGGGAGTCAGCAATACTGGGAGTTTGCTGTTGCTGGAGACTTTTCATACTCGAGAGTTTAAACATTCTGCTTTTATATAATTTGAAACTTTTGAAAATCACACATGGAACAGTAGCTAATCAGAGCCAGGTATAGGTTTTTCGTTGTTGCACGATTTTTTACACGTGAGAGTTTGTTCACCTCTCTCCCATGACTGAGTTACTGTGCTGTTAAACACATGCGAGTTCAAAAGCCAACTAATGTTTGCATTCTTTGGTGCCATCAATCACCTTAGTGGACCTCTTGGGAAACAGTTGTTTACTTCAATGAGTTCAAAAGTCATGGCTTGTGATTTGTGATTGGTGGATTTCAATCCATTTGGTGCGATTCTGTGTTTCAAGGTTTGTTAGGTGATTGCAAATATGATTGATGGCGGCAAAAAATGCAATAGACCAATTTCAATAGATAAACACTTGGTTACGAGACTTGGTGCCGGGAGGAGGGGGGGAGGGATGAAAGAAAAGAAATGTATTATTCATTGCTGAGCCACAAGATCCTTTGTTTTATTCACCCAAGCCTCGGAGCCGAGTATGAATTTTCATATATTGAAATTGGTCTATTGTCAGCTGGATTTTAAATTTCAGAGTTCGGATGTTAGTGAAAGTGCAGTAAGTTATTTCACTCCATTTTGCAGCAAGGTAAGTCTTTGGAGCCAGCCTGAAGTTGCTAGGAACTTTTTATCACCTTAAACAAAGCATTCACCTCGTAACAGTTTCAATCAGCTTGTCTGTTTCTTCTCCCTCTTCAGGTTGTTCAACTGTAGTGTCCTCCATGTTGTCCAGTATGGTTTGAGCAGACTCCAGGGAACTTAACAGAACAGCTGTCAGCTCATCACGGCTAACTCCATTGTCTTCTGCCTGTATTCAAAAGTTTACAATAATTCACAAGAAATTAATTGTGAAAGTTGATTCACAACGGTTGTAAAAGTGAACCCAACTCCAGCATTAACCGGCAAACACCCCCTGGAGGAAGAAAAAGAAGAAACAACAAACTCAGCCTCACCTTCAGAGCTACACTGGAAGGAGAGAATAAACTGCTCTCAACAATAAATATTATGCTAACCTTACTCTGGCAAAAAAACTCAAAACAAGAAAATTCTTGTTCTTTCCCTACCTCCCCTCCTCAGTTTGTAAACTAATTCAGCCAAACCTCCTGTAAACCAAAACACTTACCTTGACCTAATTTATTCTGGATATCACAAAAACTAATTTATCCAATAATTGTTTATCATATTGCTGTTTCAAGGGCTAGGCCTTGTCCCTAGTTAGAATTTTACCCTTATTTTAGCCTCATATGAGAGGTTCCAAGATTGTGCTTTTACTATGGAATGTTTTGGTAAATTGATTTCATGTCAACATTGCATTGTATGTATTTAAAATTTCCTTACCAAATTAAAGATATGGAATAATAATCTGCATTTATCTTTTACAGTTCCATGAAGACACAAAGCTATTCCGCCAATAAATTCCTCCAAGTCGATTGTACCATTCTGTAACAGAAAGGAAAGGTGAGAAAACATTTAATACAAGGCTGCTGCCTAATGGGTGCACGGTCACCAGAGGTGCCTACAATTTGCCAGCGGGAGACCAAATTTCAAACAAGGAGCGCGCACAGGTGCCTAAAACTTTTGATTCTTAAGCCAACTTCCAGTCAACTAACAACAAAATTCCATGCTCATTCTGCACTTATGAAAAAACACAAAACTTTTGGTCATCAGCTGTATGCAAAAAAATTCCCGCCAATAAAAAGTAAACAAACAAGCATTTGTCTTGAAATTCACTTCTGTGAGCTAGGCTCCTAGGGCTCTCTGCTGCAGTCGGTTGAAGTTTCTTCTCTGAAAATGATCTTGCATGAATCTAATAGGTCGCTGTTGTATCTATCAAAAAGGTGTGATGTGTGTAAAAGCTAGAGGTTTCAATAATTTTAATTGCAAGCAGTGCTCCTGGAAATTTCGTTTAATATTTTATCAGCGTTATCTGTGCCTTTCTATGTTTTGCTGTACACACTGTGGTAATTTTTGAAAGGCTCACAAAAACATTAGTTTTTAATTCACAGCAGCTATTCCATATCATATCTCTTTTTTATATACACCCTTGCATGCAACACATGTAAAAATACATACTTTCACATGTTATGCACCAAAAATAAACACATTCTCGATAAATCAAAAGACAGACTTTATACAAAAACAGCACTGTCGACTTATCAAGAAGCTTTCCAATGATCGTTTTCGATCGACATGTAACATCCTGAATTCAATCTGTGAGTGTGAAAGTGATCACAGCTAGACTATCTAATTACTTTGGCATGACTAAAAAGTCCTATTACACGGTCCTATTAATGCTGAAATCAGGACAGCTGATAGCCAACCAGATTAGAGAATTTTGCTATACCGGGTGCGAAGAAAATCATTTTTACAGCTTGCCATTCGGGCAAGCTAAAGCTAGCATTTACTAGCCCAGTCGTTATTTCAACTAGCCCCAAAAACTTTTTGTTCTTCTGTTATTCAAATTCCTCATAAAACATCACTTGCCCATCGGGCAAGTTAGAAACAGAATTCACTAGCCAGATAGCAAAATCCACTAGCCCCGGGCTATCGGACAGTACTTTCTTTGCATGCTGATATAGTTATGATTATTTTCAAAATCAAGGTAGCTGATAGCCAGTTAGTTTGGAGAATTTATAGTTATGATTAACATTAATAATAATAATAATAATAATAATAATAATAATAATAATAATAATAATAATCAACAGAGACTGCACATTTACGACATTCGTATGTAGTGAATAGACTGTAATACCTCGTTTCTGTCAAATGCGTGAAAGAGGCGTTCGGCAATGAACCCAGGTAACCGGAAGCGTTCGGCAAAATCTTGACGATTTAACATGGACAACTCAACCTGTCTGGTGCCATCATCCGTTTTCGTTGAAATCTCGTTGAAAACCGCCTCGATATTTTCCAACTCTAAACTGCTAATGACTGGAGATTGGCCCATCTCTTTTTTCACTTCGAAGGATTCAGGAATCTGATTATTTTATACAATCTAACCTTCAGGACTGGGACACTGCCATCCAAAGACATTATCCATGATCTTAGGGTTTCGATAGAGCCAGTTCTCAAACTCCTACAAACAAAAAGAAACTTTGTCTGAGTTAAACTGCAGTGTCATGTTTCGAACATGTTGTCAACGTACAAGTTGATGACATGATCAGTTAGCGGTTGCCACATTTACAATAGAGAGGAGAAGTGTGATGTCATGTAATTTCTGGATAATAACAACAGGGAGCTTAAGCAATGATGACGGCAACGGCAAAGAGAGAGGCACAAAAGCAATAGGTTTATTTGAGCAAAACAACAATTTTGCACATGCATCACGCTCTTTTGTACATTGCTTAGCCCTCATTGCCCTACTGTGACATGAAACTTCCTAATTTAACGTGCCCACTCAGCGTGCAAAGAAAGTACTGTCCAATAGCCCGGGGCTAGTGGATTTTGCTATCGGGCTAGTGAATTCTGTTTTTAACTTGCCTGACAGGCAAGTGATGTTTTATGAGGAATTTGAATAACAGAAGAACAAAAAGTTTTTGGGGCTAGTTGAAATGACGTCTGGGCTAGTAAATGCTAACTTCAGCTTGCCCGAATGGCAAGCTGTAAAAATGATTTTCTTTGCATCCTGCCACTATAAGAAGTAGGAGAGCACAACACAAAAATTTTCTTTTTCTTGTTCTAATCTTAGATATGGTCCTTTTGGATTCAACCCAGAAAATTTGCGCCAACAATTGACAAATAGAATGAAATTGAACAAGATTGACGAAGTTTGAAACAGTACAAATTTACTTTTTAAGTGATGTTTTTGGTTTGTCGTCATCTAGAAATTCTGCTACCATGGCAACATGACGTAATGACTTCTCCTCTATTAACACTAATATCACAATATTCTCTCCACACATATCATCTTATTTATTATTATCATTCTATTTATTAATATTTTTTTGCTCAGAGAGTATCAACATGACTGTTTGATGCAGTTTATTCATGTGTTCATTTGACATAATGTGACTGTGCGATGAGGTTGTCATGTCAGCCCACAAATGACCTGTTCATCACTGGAGGTCTTAGTAGTTTAGTGGTTAGAGCATCCACCTTGTGTATGGATGGTCAAGGGTTCAATTCCCATCTGGAACTCAGAATTTTTTCTAAGTTCTTCTCTCCACATATATCATTCTATTTATTATTACAATATTCATCTTCAAAATTCTACAGACTGATTGTAAAAATTGAGGAAATTTGCTGAATAAAGAAGCATTACTTTACAAGTCAGAAAAACTTAGACACATTAACCCACTTGCTCCTGGACCACCCATAACCATAACGTCCCTTCGACCGCCTATGACATCATCAGTTTTAATGGTCAAGGACAATGAATCAGAGTCTTTTCAAGTGAAAGGACAAACTCTGCACACTACAAAATCCCTTTGAAAGATATACCTGCACAAAGATTATGGCAAAAAAATGGGACAATGTGATGTACTGGAACAATTTTTGCAGAGCCAGCAGGCAATAAAAGTGCACAAATATCACACAAACACACCCTAGAAATAAGAATAACACTGATAATTTATTAGAATAATTTTCTTTGATGAAAGCAGAAATATTAGTCTTAGAAATTTGCCTGGTAGTGATACACCTTTTTTGATACCGGTATTTTTAATTGAGGAACCATTTCTGCTAAGAAAATACATTATGTAACTTACAACTTCTACCTTAAAATATGCAAATTCAAGGCACTTATTATTAAACACAAACCTTGGCAGAAAGCTTCCCAGTTTTAGAAACATTACAGGTTTCAAATGCATCGCTCACAATCCTAGAATCAACAAAAAATTAAAATTCCAACAAAATCAGAACAATCATAAGCTCTTGGCAAATGGATAAAGTCAACTACCATGAACAGCCTTGTGGACAACTTGCCATAACGGAGACCCCAATGCAAAATCAGCAGCAAAAATCATAGAAGTTTGACTGAAATAAACTCCCACTAGAGTATAGAGGGAGTCAGCAATACTGGGAGTTCGCTGTTGCTGGAGACTTTTCATACCCCTGAGTTTAAACATTCTGCTTTTATACTGAAACTTTTGAAAATCATACATGGAACAGTAGCTAATCAGAGCCAGGTATAGGTTTTTCGTTGTTGCACGATTTTTTACATGTTAGAGTTTGTTCACCTCTCTCCCATCACTGAGTTACTGTGCTGTTAAACACATGCGAATTCTCAAGTTCAAAAGCCAACTAATGTTTGCATTCTTTGGTGCCGTCAGTCAACTTAGTGGACCTCTTGGGAAACAGTTGTTTACTTCAATGAGTTCAAAAGTCATAGCTTGTGATTTGTGATTGGTGGATTTCAATCCATTTGGTGTGCTTCTGTGTTCTAAGGTTTGTTATGTGATTGCAAATATGATTGATGGCAGCAAAAAATGCAATAGTCCAATTTCAATAGATTAACACTTGGTTACAAGACTTGGTGGGAGGTGGGGGGTGGGGGGGGGGGGG